GTACTTAATAATTTCAAAAAATTAAAACTATTTGTTAATTTTAAAGTTAACTAACCTTTTAATGACTTTGTTGTGTCTGCTTTTAGTTGGAAAGCATTTGCATATTTGGTTGCAGCGCGTGGAGGTCTGCAGTCTCCATTGATCCCCTAGATGGGTATCAGTCATTTGTGACCTTAAGGGCGTCTTGATTTGGGTTAGGTAGGAGAATATAGATTTGCAGTAATAAGTGCTTGAAAAGCAAGAAAGCATTTTTTGGGCATGTTGCCAAAGGTATAGCTATTCATTCTACTGCATTTTTCCATATTTCAACTGGATCTTTCTTAGCATCAAACAATGACTTTAAAATGTTATCTACTGAGAGCTCAATCAATTTCATCTGTAGTTCTTTAGGTGCCCTGGTGATATCAACTAGGTGAAGCTGAAATGCTAATTTGAGTATAATGTCGTGATTCTTAAAGTCAGTGAACCTTTCATTGTATTCTCCAATTAATAGGTCTGTAACAGCTGGCAATTCTTCAAATGATTTGCATATATCACCCTGCTCATCAGTGACCTTTGCTGAGGGAAATGTTCATCCAAAACTTCCTTTTGAAGAAGTGTTTTGAAAAAAGATAGCATTTCTTAAAATGCTTGGATTTTTTGTAACATATATAGACTTAGTTTTATCTTTCAAAGAAATATTTGTTTTGATTTGACATGATATCACACAGAAATGCAGCATTCATGTAGAAATTTTCTTTCCACAACTCACATTGTTGGTTCTGTTCTTCATAAAATTTAACTATAGTTCTTGCAGAGATAAAATTTTGGCTAACACCTGTCCCTGCTATAGCCAACAACACACTTTAGAATGATATGACAAATCCACACTGAATACCTCATTGTTCAACTTTAGCATCTTATGAAACTGACAATGCCGTGTTGCATTTGCATGAATATGGTTAACAATACTTATAACTTGTTGCAAAGTGTCACTTAAAATAGGAGCTTTAACACAGGGATCTTGCTAATGCAGGATACAGTAAAAAGAAATAAGAGCATCTGGATTTGTTAATACTTTTTTTTGTCTGTGCAATAAATCCTTGATGTTTTCTGGTCACAGAAGGTGCACCATCTGTACATACACCCACTAAATTTGCCAAATTCAGTCCAACATCACAACATTCATCTTGAAAGTTGTTGAAGATATCTGTTCCCCAGGTTCTGTTCACAAGAGAACCCAAAGAGAGTAACTCTTCATAGCAAAGAAAATCTTCTGTTATGACCCAAATCAAGTATAAAACCTGCACCGAGTCAGTAGTATTTATTGATTCATCCAAAGGGATTGAATAATATATATTTTCCTTTTGAAGTATTGCATGAAGTTGTTCTTTAAGTTGAAGGCTAATTCATGCTGCTGATGGGTTATGGTTCTCCTTGAAAGAGCTAGTTATTTGTACTTTGAAACATTATTAGGGTCTAAGCATCCTATAACTTCGACAATGCATTCTTTTACAATTTCTGTATCACTGCATGGCTTTCCTTTTTTTGCAAGTATATATATATAAACTACTTTATAAATTGCTCGGGGCTTTTGGTGAGCCCATTACCAAAATAGTGTTCATTGTATCCATACATAAGTTCCCACATCCCCCCTCCAACACTTCCTCTTTCTTGGTTTTTCATGTCCTTTATATCACTTTGTGCCCATGTGTACCCACTGTTTAGCTCCCACTTATTAGTGAGAACATATGGTGTTTAGTTTTCCATTCCCAAGATACTTCACTTAGGATAATGGTCTCCAGTTCCATCCAAGTTGCTGCAAATGACATTATTTCATTCCATTTTATGGCTGAGTAGTACTCCATGGTGTGTACGTGTGTGTGTGTGTGTGTGTGTGTGTGTGTCTGTGTGTGTGTACATCCTGACCTCTTCTTTCCTGATTTGAATGCCTTTTCTTTCTTTCTCCTGCCTGATTGCTCTGGCTAGGACTTCCAGTACTATGTTGAATAGAAGTGGTGACAGTGGGCACTCTTGTCTTGTTCCAGTTCTTAGGTGGAATGCACACACACACACCACATTTTCTTTGTGCACTCATGAATTGATAGTTCCTTAGATTGATTCCACATCTTTGTAATTGTGAATTTTGCTGTGATAAACATTTGCAGGCAGGTGTCTTTTTGATAGAATGACTTCATTTCCTTTGGGTAGATACCCAGAAGTAGGATCACTTGATTGAATGGTGGGTCTCCATTTATTCCTTTGAAGAATCTCCATACTGTATTCCATAGAAGTTGTACTAATTTACAGCCCTGGACCTAATGACAATGGTTGCACAACCTTGAGAATAGACCCAAAGCCACTGAATTGTATACTTTAAAATGGAAAATTTTTATGGTTGTGAATTATATTCCAGTTTAAAAAATTGGATTAAAAATCCCCAAATTTGACAAAATGCCAAAACCTTAAGTCCAAGAAATTAAACCCAAACAGGATAAACTCAAAAAATACACACTAAGACACATCATATTTAAATTGAAAACAAGAAATAAAGAAAAAATCTTGAAAGCAGCCAGAGGGAAATGATGCATTACCTTTAGGGGAACCCCACTTGGCATTAAAGCCAATTATGAGACATGGAATATAACCCTATGAAGACTAGGAGGAAGAGGCACATTGTTTTTCCAGTGCTTAAAGAAAAGAACTGCCAACTGAAAATTGTATATCAGGTGAAAGTATCTTTCAGGAATAAAACCAGGATAGTCATGTTACAGAAAATAAGGAAAAAGATCATTCAAATACTTGTCAAAATCCAACACCCATTCATAATAAAAACTATCAGAAAATTAGGAATAGAATGGAACTATTTCAACTTCATAGAAAGTATGTACACAAAACCTATAGCTAACATCATACTAAATGGTGAAAAACTGAATGTTTTCCACCTGACACTGGGAACAAGGTAAGGATGTTAGTTTTTGCTACTCTCGCCACAGACATTTTAGCCATTGTAATAAGACATGAAAAAGAAATAAACAGCTATACAGATTGGAAAGGTGGAAATAAAACTGTTCATATTTGCAGATGACATGATTGTCCATGTAGAAAACACCAAGAAATCTACAATCTCTTAGGATTAACAGGTGAGTTTTCCACAGTAACAGGGTACAAGATCAACATGAGAAACATAATCATGTTTCTGTACGCTAATAGCAAACATGTCAAAACTAAAATATAATACCATTTAAAATTGTGCAAAAGAAAATGAAATACTAAACTATAAACCTAACAAAACATGCATGGGATCTGCATGTTGAAAAATCACAAAATTCTGATGAAAAAAGTGAAAGAAGACCTAACTAAATGGAGAGACATACCATGTTCATGGGTTGGAAGACTCAACACAGTTAGGATGCCAGTTCTCCTCAGTTCGATCATAGGTCTAATGCAATTCCTATCAAAATTCCAGCATAGCTTGTAGAAATAAACTTATTCTAAATTTTCTATGGAAAGGCATATCAGCCCCAGAATAGTTTAATCTTGACAAAAAAGAATAAAGTTATGTGACTGTAAAACCAGGCTGTAAAAAGTCATAATAGTCCATTGCTTACAACCTAAGAATGAGGAAGAGATGGAAAATCTACAAAATTTTCAGGGAGCTGAGGTTTCAAAGAGGAAAATATACCTGTAATGAATGAGACGAGAGGAAAAAACCCCACAATATTCTCTGAGAACTATTATATATTTCTGATTTCAACTTGATGTCAACTTGATTCTTTCAAATGGGAGAGGAGATGCAGAGGCTTCAAAGGGATATCAGAAGATTTCTCTCTTCAAAGTCTCTTCACAGGGACTTCAAATCTAGCACTTCTGGAATTGACTTCTTCACTCTTCTCTATCGAAACCTCTAATCACTTCCTGTGTTCCTGATCTCAATAAATGACAACACCAAGTGACTTAAGCCTGGAATGTGGTGGTCGTCCCAGACTCCTCTCTCTGAGTCACTCACCTCATGCAGTCAATGATCAGGAGCTGCCAGTTTACTACATACATCTTCCTGAATCCGTCTCCTCCTCTTGCTCAGTGTCACCACCGTGAGAACAACTCAAGCCTTCATCCCCGGGTCACCAGGTCCGCTGGGATGACTTGTCTGTTTCCCATCTAGCTTCTATCTTGCAGACAAGTAATCTCCATACAACTAAAGTCTGAGTTTCTGCTTGAAATCTTAATACTTCCCCCCATTGTTCTCTAGAAAGAGGCTGAGCTGCTTGGTAGCCCGGACCTGCCCCCTGCTGGTCTCCCGCTACGTTATGACGGAAGAATTCCAGACTGCGGTTCCTGCACCTGCTGTGTGGACACTCGCTGCTACGCCCACTGATGGGGGCAGCCTTCCCACTTTTCTTCGCTCTGACAACTCTCACTCATTTACCAAGACGGTTTGGGAAAACTCTAATTCTCCGGGTACCCCGTGTGCCTCGCCTGGACTTCCATCGCACCCTGTGGAATCTTTATTTTAGCGTTTACACATCGTATTTAACTGGGCGTGTTTCTTTTGAAGCCCCGTCTGGACCCACGCGGGCCCGCGATGAAGTCGCTCAACCAGCGGTACCGGGCGGCCAAGTTCGCCTCCTCCCTTCCTCCCACTCATGCTCGCCTTTCGGTGCCAGCTGGCTGCTGCCACATGGTTTAGGAAACCCAAGGTCATGGCGATAACCCAGCGATCCTTCCGCTTTGCTTCCAAGGGCTGAAAAGCATCTGCGCCCAGCCTGGCGGTCGGCCGCCCCGGGGCGGGTGCGGAGCTCTGCGGTCCCTCCACCCAGAGCCCGACGGCGTCTCTTTGGCTCTGCACGGGGGCTCCCGACCTGGCCCCGGGCCGCGGTGGCTGCCGGCAGCGGCTGGCAGGGTGACAGGCTCCCGGACCCCGGAGCGCGGACGTGAGCCAGGCCCCGCGGAGTCCCTGCCAGAGCGCTGCGTGGGCGGCTGCGGAGAGGGGCGTGAGCAGCGCGGGACCTGGGCTCCTCGGCCTCGCCAAGATGGGCCCCGCGCCCTTCCTCAGGTGACACCCGCTTTCCAGGCGCGCGGGGGTCCTCACGCCCCTCCTAGGCTCCCCGTGGCCCCGGGCGCGCCCTAGGTGTACCTGGGAGCACCCTAGGCTTTCCCCTGAGTTCTATTGGTCAGCCAGTCATGGACAGGTATTTATTGTCCCCAGGCCCTGGGGACATTACATGATTGGGACACCCTCCTGGGCCCTCAGATCTGCTGAGACTCTCCTCATCAATAAGGCTTCTCTCCCCCAAGCTCTTTCTCCTGCAGATGGCTTCTTTTCCCCCACCCTGCTGAGGGTCTGTCCATTGAACCAGACGGACGAAATCAGGGTTGCGGATGCAGACGAGGCGCTCCCGATGGACGCTGCGTCCTTCCGAGCCTGGTGGCTGCAGTGCTCCCCCCGTCGCTGAGCCTCTTCTCCTTCTTCTCCTTTCTGGGGACCCCTTCCCCTGGTGCTCAGCCCTGTCCCGCTCCTGTCTGTCCCCAGCCTCCAGTTCTGACTGAGGAGGACTGCAGGACAGCCCTCGTGGTGGCCTTAGGCTGGCCTAGGAGAAGACCCACCTGTGACATGGGCTCCTCTGTGGCTCTGGCCTCTGGAAGACATGCATGGTCCCTGTGGCCTGCTGAGGTCAATGCCTTCCCCTTCTCGCTGCCCCTCCTTTCTCCTTTCAGCCAGTGTCTCTCCTGGAAGAGAATCGTCGGCATCTTTTTCTTGCCATTTATCTTACCTGGTTTTGCTCCTCGGCTTAAACATAAAGAGGACCTTATAGCTGGAAGATCACATCTGCTCCAGTCCAGGTTTGCTGGAGTGGGGAAGGGAGGAGCTTCTCTTTTTTCTTGGGGAAAATAATATTGCAAGTGTGCACAGAACATGTCCTGCTAACAAGAACTTCTTTTTCTGCTAAGGTTTCAGCTGTCTCTCCTCTCTCTCTCTCTTTCTTCCTCTCTCCCTCTCCCTCCAGGTTTAACTGGTCTCATTTGACCCCTCTGGAGCTGAAGAACAGATCTGTGGGACTTCAAACTAAAAGCACAGGTGGGGGCAAGCCACACTTCACCCTGGAGGGGCACAAGTTCCTGATCTTCGGGGGCTCCATCCACTATTTCCGGGTGCCCAGGGAGTACTGGAGGGACCGCTTGCTGAAGCTGAAGGCCTGTGGCTTCAACACTGTCACCACGTGAGTGCTGGTTCCTCACCCTCCATGACCTTGGTACCCTACAGGGGCTCCTACCATGGGCATCCTGGCTCAGAACTGAGCTCTGGTTTGGGGGCCCAGTGTGAGGACTTACTTCTAAATAGTTGTTTCTAGCACAAGCCTTTTATGCTTAAGTGTCCAGCTGTCACTTATGCCTCATACTTAGTTTTCTCTGCAATCAAAGCCTTGGAGAGACGTTAGTGGAGAAATATAAAGGGCGATTTCCTCAGGGTCTCTCTGTCCAATGGGGAGCACTGGCAGCCCTTAAGGGCACGCAGTTCAATGGCATAAACCCAAGGCGTGCTTACTGATAAATGCATACTTACAGAGGCACACGTGTTTTAAAACAATTCTTATTTGTGTATATGGGGGTGAACATGTAGAGGGATAATAGCAGTATCAAAAAATGAACATGTAATGAAATACCAGTATCACTAAAGTGAAGTTTAATGGCATAAAGAAAGTGAACACTGTGGGTAAATGAGTAAGATCATAGGGATTTAGTGTCAGGTAGATCTGGCCTCCAGTCCCGGCTTTGCCTCTAACCATCACACCCAGGCCCTGGGGTCCTCATCTGTAAGTGGGCGGAATAAGAATTGCCTCAAGCCGGGCACGATGGCACACGCCTGTAGTCCCTGTACTCGAGAGGCTAAAGCAGGAGAATCTCTTGGGCCTAGGAGTTTGAGATCAGCCTGAGCAACATCACGAGACCCTGTCTCTTTAAAAAAATAGCCTCATAAGGTTGTGTTGATTAAAGGAAATAAAACCTTTATCTTATTTATATGAAAAATGCCTGTCACAATACCTGGCACACACATGTACTCAATAATGGTGGCAAAAAGAAATACAAACCCAGTTTAGTCTATCAGAAGAATGGAAATAAAAACGAGCATGAATTTAACGTGATTATGTACACAAGGTAATGTGTATTTAGGATGTGCTTTCAAAGTGTAGGCACCTTCTAAGCCTTTTCACAAATCCCTTAATCCTCACGGCTGTCCTGCGAGATGGATAGTGTAATTCCCACCGTGCAGGGGAGAAACTGAGCACACAGGGGTAATCGCTTGCTCGGGAGGACGTGGGACGTCTGGCTGCAATGCATGCAGGCAGCGTGGCTGCAGAGCCCACATCCACACTACGCTAATTCCCTTCCTGGTGTGACCTCCTCCAGGCGTGGCCACGCAGACATGGGCATGGACATGATGATGTCACACATGGAACAAAGGCTCCAGTCAAATAAAATCATGCCCCAAGCCAAAATCATTTGAATTAGGAACAGTGGAGTTCCCTTCCTAACAGACCTATTCCAGAAAGATCTTGAAGCTCAAAACAACTGGGATTCATATACACTTGAAAGTTATGTATTGTATTGTATACTTGGGCCATTTTTTCTTTTTTCTTAATCTTATCTATTTTTTAAGTCTTTTCAAATAACTAAATTGTAGCTTTGTTAATAATCTCTATCTTTTGGTTTATATTTCAAAATTTCTGAGTTATGTATAATTTCCTTTCTTCTACTTTAATTTAGTACCTTCTCATCTTCATCTTCTTCCTCTTCCCTTTTCTTCTTCTTGTTTCCTGAGTTGAATATTTAGCTTGCTTTCTTTCCAATCTTCTGTGTTTCCTGATATATTCATTCAGAGATATGACTGTTCCTATAAATATTGCTTTGGTTGTATATCCCACAGCTTTTGCTATATACTGCTTTAAATGTCATTTAGTTTCAAATATTTACTAATTTTTGTTGTAGTTTCCTCTTTGACCCATAAGCTATTTGGGAATATGCTTTCTTATTTATTTAAATTAATTTTTGCTACTTTTAACTGTCATTTTCTAATTTAGTTTCATTTGTCTTGGGATCATGGACTACACGATACAGATTTTTGGAATTTATTGAGATTTATTTCGTGACGTAGTACATATTAGTATTTTACAAGTGTTCCATGCATTTTTAAAAAGAATATAAATGCTGCATCTGTTGGCTGCTGGGTTCTCTAAGTATTTATTAGATCCAGCCTTTTAATTATGCCGTTCAAATTCATATCCTTACAAGTTTTTTTTTTTCACTGCTTATTATCTTTGTTTCTTAGAGAAGTATTTTCAGTCCTCTCACTATGACAGTGAAATTGGTTTATCCCTTTCCTTTCTAACTCAGTCAGCTTCTCCTGAAGTTACACCGTTATGAGCATGGGAGGTCATGGTTAGTATATCTTCTCGATGGATCATTGCTTTCATTTTTACTTGATGCCACTCCTATTACCTATTTGTGAGTTTTGCTTTAAAATCCATTTGCCTGTTATTAATATTGCTAGAATCATTTTGAGTCATCTAATCTTTTCCCTTCTTTTTTCCCAACTTTTTCCAGCCATTTTCCTTAAAGTTACTTGTAAGTAACATTTAGCAAATTTTTGTTGTTCTATTCTCTCAATGTATAGCAACAAACTTTGCTGTGCATATTTAGGTTTCAGCAAAACAATTATTCATTCCTCCCCACAACAAAAGATCTTAAAATGCAATGCCTTCTGCTATAATGAAATACATATATTGTCAAAAATCTCTGCACTGCATAAAATTGTATAATAAAAAGCACAATAAAAACATGATGTTAAGGGCATAACACTTAAAAACCTTGTCAGTGACACACAAAAAAGATAGTCACTTCATAAGAATAGCATCTAATAAAAATTTTACACATCTTTTTGACTTTCCAGACTCATACCCTGTGGGGGAGGCCCTGGCAGGGGCCCTTCTTGCTACCTGCTAAAGGTAGTGCCCTCCTCTTCTGTGTCACCAGTGTCTTCATAGAAACGCCTCGTCTATTCTTATGTTGATTAATTCATAGCAATAATTTATTGGACAGATGTAGACATTTTTATTTTTATTCTTTTTCCTTTTCTTTATATTTTTAATGAGTGTTACAAAAAAGAAGGCGGTGAATGGGAGAATTTATATATAAATACAAGAAATCTAGAAGCATAGGAAGGTTGGTAGTTTGGACCACAATTGGGTAATAGAGCAAGGAACTATTGAAGATAGTCATCATTAGCATAACAGAGGTTTGATTTCCACTGGAAAGTCCAACTCATTCCAAAATAGAGCTACCCCAGGTTTGGGCTTGGGTTTGGGGTTGACCTAGCAATTTGGAAGAAAGAAATAAGAAGATGCTTATCACACTTCCCTCTTCCCACTTCCAGCTACGTTCCATGGAACCTGCACGAGCCAGAGAGAGGCAGATTTGACTTCTCCGGGAACCTGGACCTGGAGTACGTGGAGTTGCTGCCTCTGTGACCTGGCCCAGGGTGGGGGCAGAGAGTTGGCTACTAGGGGTGGATTAGGAACTATAGAGAACCAGACAGGGACCTGCGTCTGGAGCCTTGTTCTCAGGACCCTGTGAAAGGCCCTGTACCCAGGACCCGGATGCTCCCCAGCCGTGACCTGTCACCCTGTGGGGTTGGGCCTGCAGCCTCTGGGCCACATTCTCCATGGCAGCCCAGGGTGGGGCTGAAGACTCTGGGTACTGCCCGATTCTGCAGGAGGGTCCAGCACCTGGGCTGGGACAGGGGCTGCCTCTCTAGGGCAGCAGGGCCGTTGGGGTCAGGTTCACTGTTAAGCCGGCTGTGCGCTGTCTGATGCCTTCCTCCTCAGGCCCCCCATGGGCCTGTGCGGATGGTCTGAGGCTGGGAGCAGCTCTGGCCCCAGGCCTGGTGTGGGATTCCCTGCTGTGCTGGGCTGGGCGGAGCCTTGCCTTCACCCAGGCCATCTGCCTGGTTGAGAGAGGGGGCCAGGAGAGGAGCTGGGCTCCCCCGACAGCCTCTGCCCTGGACGGTCATGGCAGGTGCTGACTCGTTTACCTCCCCAGGGCCTTCGTCCTGATGGCCGCGGAGATCGGGCTGTGGGTGATCCTGCGTCCGGGCCCCTACATCTGCAGCGAGATCGACCTGGGGGGCTTGCCCAGGTATGTGGGGCTGCAAGTCCACTTGGGGTTGTAGTGAAGTATTCTGCTTTACAAAAAGTGAAATTTCAGTCTAATAATGATGACCTTTATTTATAAAAAATAACCTTTATTTATTGAGCCCGTGTGTGTGTCTTGCACTACCCCATGCATTTTACCTTCATTGTCTCATGTGACGCCTTCAGTAATGTGACGAGGTGTGGGTACCACTGTCGTCCCATTTCACAGATGAGGAACTCGAGGCGTTGGGCCTGGTGCTTTGGGCCCGTGGCCAAGAGCGAGTACGAGGACAGAAGCAGCCACGGGATGTTCGTACTCTTCTTACCCCACAGAGAAGGGGCCGTGGCCACCCCTGTTCTCCCCATGCTCTGGGAAGAAAGGAGACGGAAGCTCTAGCGTGTGCAAGGGAAGGTTCTGACACCTCTGTTCTTTCTCTTATTTTGTTGAGGGAAGGCCGCTGTCTCCACTTGCTGAGACCCTCAGCTCCCCTCCCTTCCTCTCGCTTTTCTTTGCTCATTTCTTCCCCTGTGTTGCCGGCCCTCAGCCCAGACTACTGAGGTTCAGGCTGAGAATCCAGGAATCCTCTCCCACTATCCCTGCCTGCCGACAGGCCTCCCTGGCCAGGCCGTGGCTCTAACCCCCCGAGGAGCACTTTTACCCCGGAGTCAGGTGAAGACTTTGCTTTTCTCCAAGATGAGCTCCTTCTCCCATCCAGCTGGGAAGCAGAACAAGCCTGAGCTTGGGCGAAGTGGGAGTTTCAGGGAAGCGATTGCTCCCTGTGCGGGAGACCTGGCCGTGCGCCTCGCCAGCGACCTGTGCGGGGGCAGGAGGTGTTCCTGGCTTTCAGGCTCAAATCCTGCGCTTGAAGTCTTAGGTCTTAGTGGGAATGTGACCCTGTGCCTAAGGAACAGATACTGTCCTCAAGAAAAATGTTTTTGATAAACTCAAAAAGAATAGAGGATTCAATAAATGGTAAAAGCAAAAGCTCATTCAGACATGGGTGTGAGAGCCTTGACAGCTCGGTCCCTCGGTCTGGCCGGACGGGGCTGAAGGCGCTGTTCAGGCTGTGACATACCTTGGAGCTGGAGACGGGTGTCTTCCCTGAACCTCACGAGTGTGAGAGTCTGAAAAGCTCGCACGGCATGGATCTTTCCGGAGCCTTGAGTGCTCCAGGACCAAGGGCGTGGGACCTGCGGACACACGTCAACTGAGTGGAGGCAGCTCTGGGGAGGGCTGGTCGCCGGCTCCGGCCACCTCCTCCTCCTCCCGCCTCCCTGTCGCAGACGCCGAGCCTGCCTCTCTCGCCCCCAGCTGGCTGCTGCGAGACCCCCGGCTGGAACTGAGGACAACCAGCAAGGGCTTCATCGAAGCAGTCGATAAGTATTTTGATCATCTGATTCCCAGAGTGATTCCTCTCCAGGTAAAGCCACATTTCCTTTTCCTTCTTGCTCACGTTCGTTTTAGGGAAAGTTTGTTCCCGCTCGATCCCCCAATAGGCCCCATGCAGTCTCTGTGAGAAATGAAGCTGACTTTCTCATAACTGAATTCTCTACCCTCCTCTGAAGGACAGAAGCTTTTTCTTGTCCTGTCTTTGTGCCTTTTCCCCAGGGCTTCTGGAAAGACTCCCATCCCACAAGACAGGGACTGCATGAATGGGTGTCAAGGCTGTGACATGTACTTGATATTCACAAGGCTCACTGCTTGCTTATTTCAACTCTTAACTTGGCGAAAAAAAAGGATCAGAAAGTAAAACAGAGTTTATGGTCAAATAAAAGTCTCCCCTCCCACCCTCTCCCAAAGCCACTTAGTTGCCTTTTTAGGAGACAACCAATTTTTACCAGATTTTTGTGTATCTTTCCAGAGATTTTCTGCACATATAGAAGCAAATTATACACACACACATATACGTGTACATATCGTTTTTTGAATAAAAATATACAATTTCCAGTGGGCATTTTTCTTTTGGCATCTGAAAATACATTTTTTGAAACCTGCCATTCTTTTTAATGGCTACATAATATTCCATAGTATAGATCTATCATAATTCATTTAATTAGTGCCCTAGTCATGGGCATTTGGGTTTTCCAAGTTTGTTATAATAAATAACTTGGCTTACATGTCATTTTTGTATCTGTGTGAATGTACTCAGGACTGCTTGTATTCCAGTTTGATTTAGTCCCAGGAATGGGAAGAACACAGATGACATGCATTTCCTTTTTCATGGAGTTCCCAGACCTCATGCACTACATAAGAAATTCCTTTATTTTCATAATGTCAACCTATAGTACAAAGGCAGGTCTGTGATTTAAAAAAATGAACATTATACCCTGAAGTCTACAAGAGAGCAGTTGTTTAATCATTGTGATATTCTTTTGTTTAATTTAAAAAATATAGCTATATTTTTAATTTTAATTTATATTTCTCTCTTCCAAACAAGAGAATGCACACTGTTATTATTTAAGTAAAAATAGATCTTAGTTTAAAAACATATTTCTTAATGTAGCTTGAGATGGGATAAAAAACAAGATTATTTGGTAGTAGACTAATAGCTTATTATTTTAGACTCTTCTGTTTGGGGGAAAATATGACAGGCATACAGAGCCAGCCCTGAATAACTAACCCTGACTTGTGAACTGCGAGTTATTCCTATTAGGATAATTATAAAGAGAAGAATCGGGGAATTAGAAAGGAAAATGAAGGACAGTTTAGCAACAATATTCCTGCAATATAGCTTTAGAAAAATGGGCATTGCAGAGGCAAAGAGAACCTCATCTTCAGGATTAAACTCTGGGTCTGCTAGGTGGACTCAAGATACATCTTTTGTACCAAGGGCTGAAGCCATGTGTTTCTGGTTGCATTTCTGTAATGTAGATGGGACACAGTGGCAGGAGTGAGCCTTAAAACTAGAAGGACATTGAATCTTTGGATAGAAATTCAAGCACAAGTACAAATGTCACTTAGCAGTCATATGTATGCAACAAGCAAAGCAAATTTATAAACATCCCATTGGAATCATGAGGGTGATAAATCCCAGAAAATTTTTAAGATGCAAGGAATTATACGGAAGTGAAATGTACAGGGCTCATTAGTGATAAATTGTTAGTATTTTAAGGTCTTATTTAATTGATTGTCTTCATTGTTTTAATTATGTAAAAATAATTTTTAGAGTGCATTTACCAGTTTACCTGGGTCCTTTATTCTTCTAATCCTGTTTGTTTAATAAAGTCAACTGTGAATTCTCCTACAACGAGGTTTTTAGAAATGTCACCCTTTAGGTTGGAGAGAGGATACCGTTCAATAATGAAAACAGTTGTTCTCAATTCATTGATTCAGAATATTTACGTCCATACAGTAAGTCATTATTGAGCACGGGGCACTCTGCGGTTATCAGCGAGTGTTTGAGGCACTGTGCAGTGGCGGAGCTTCCTGTCCTGAGAAGGCCAGGCGCCGGGCTTGCCCCGCGGAGCTTACGGTCCAACATGGGAGACAAACAGCACTGCAGTAAGACGATGATGCCTACCAGGGAGGAGGTGCAGGAGACCCCTAGCGGGCAAGCTCTTGCTGAAGAATGGAGGTTCAGGGAATGTTTTCCAGAGACAGTAACTTTTAAGCAGTGACCGGAAGAGTGGGCAGGCATCAGCTAGGCAGGGGAAGTGCTCATGAGGCCCCAGCATGGGTGAAGCAACAGACGGTGAGAGACGGAACGAGGAGTTTGAAGCGCTGCAAGAAGTTCAGCGCTCCTGGACAGAGAGTGTGGGCTGGGAGAGAGGCGGAGGTGGATCTGCAAAGGAAAACCTGCCAGTCGCGCTCCTTCTCCGTTGTGCCCACTCGGGAGCCAGCATCGCTTTGCTCCAACACGAATGCCGCACTCCGAGGTCGGCATTGCTCTGCGGGCAGCAGAACCACGGGACTGTGTCGTGTCGGAGAGTAAAGCCCAGACCTTTGCATTTGACAGCTCGCTCCGCCTTCCTCGTGGAGAGGCTCCAAGAAGAAGCAAACACACTTGAGTGCGGAAGGACATTGGAAGATTGGATTAAGCTCTGAAGAGTGCTTTAATTTCAGCACAGCTAGGTCAGCGTTGATGGTTTAGGCGGTGTGAGGGGCTGGAAGCTGTACTACTGTGGCTTGAGGGGTGAGTTAAAAGTGAGAAAGCAGAGCACGCCAGCATAGATGACCGGTAACTTCCAGAAAGTGGGGCTCCTAGAGAGGAGAGAGCAGGAGGACTTTGGAGCCCTCCCCCCCGTGTCTCTCCGATGCGAAGGCCCCAAATACGTTGCCATGGCAATGGAAGTCGGTCAGTCTGGAAGGAAAGGTGGAAGGCACCATCGAAAGAGGGACCGTGCCAAGAGCTGAGCTCCTGAGCAGGTGGCGGAGGGCAGTGGGCCCGGCACACGAGACACTCGGTGGCATTACGCTAGGACGGGGGCTGGAGGGGAGGGGCGTCTCTTTGATTCGTCAGGTGGGAAAGTGGATAGGATGGGCCTGGAAGCGAGTGAGTTCGTAGGTTTGAGAGATTAAATTTAAGTGGCCAATTAGTATGAGAAATAAAGGGGAGGCTGCGACAGCCGCTTGTCTGCAACGTCCTAGGGAGGCAGGACTCCCGCAGCAGCCAAGTGCCTGAGGGGACTTTGGCCCCAGGGCGGACAGGAGAGAGAGCAGAAGACCGTGAGGAGCCTGGCACCAGAGCACGCCACACCAGCCGCGTGTCTCTAGCCGACACCCGGTGACTCGAGGCTTGTGGCCCCAGCTGTGTCTCTCTTCAGCTCTCCTCTGCTTGTCTCTCAGTACTGCCGGGGAGGCCCTGTCATCGCAGTGCAGGTGGAGAATGAATACGGTTCCTTTAATAAGGACGAAAACTACATGCCCTATCTTCACAAGGTAAGAAGCGCTCGGTTGTCTCCACATTTACACGTCTCCTTCCTTAATCTCTTTTCCAGCACACGATTCCGATTCCTGGCTGCACAGGCGACTGTGCGGGCACTGCGCACTCCGAGAGCACACAGCTGACCCTCGAACCACCTGGGGCTTAGGGTGCCGACCCCCGGCACAGTCGAAAACCTCAGTATAACTTTTGACTCCCCCAAAACTTAACTACTAATAGCCTACTGTTGGTTGGAAACCTTGCTGGTAACACAGTCAATTAACCCATATTTTGTGTGTTATAATACATACTGTATTCTTAAAGCAAGCTAGAGAGAAGAAAATGTTATTAAGAAAATCATAATGAAGAGAAAATATTTTTACTATTTATTGAGTGGAAGTGGATCATCAGACAGGTCTTCATCTTCATCATCTTCACATTGAATAGGCTGAGAGGAGGAGGAAGAGGAGAGTTGGGCTTGCTGTCTCAGGGATAGCCCAGGAGGGAAGCAGGAGAGTTACACTTGATGTAACTTTTACTGAAAAAAATATGTGCATGAATGCAGTTCAGATCCATGCAGAAGATCAAGTTCAATTTCTCTGTGAATTTACAGTATAGTCAGGACAATAAAGATGTACTTCAACAACTTTATTACGATACAAAACACGGTATCAAAGATTATTCCTTTCTGTTTGCTGTTTTTATGACCCACAATTCTCATGAAAGCTGGGGGTTGGTGAATATATACTTGTAGTAAATAATGCTTCAAGAACTTAATGACGATGGCTAGCAGCTTGCAGCTTTCTGGCCTGTGGTATTAACATCCTCTCTTCTGCTCCCTTTGCTTCTTCACAGAAAGACATCTCAGGCCAGGGAGTAATTGCAATCCTGTCTGCTGTCCTTTCTGGTGGCTCAGCCCCTCCCGGTCCCTGACTTCCCACATTCGGGAAGTTGGTAAGGGCCCAGTCTCAGTGGGACCCCCTCCTCAGGTCGCTAAGCAGGTTGCAGGGGCTGCATGGTCTGGCCTGACCCCTCCCAACTCTGCCCTTGCCAACCTAGCTCTGTTCACACAGAGGCCTCTGGCTGAATGGCTTGGGGGGGGGGGTCACCAGCTGGGTAAAGAAGGGGTCAGGATGGTGGGGCTGGGTTCCATCCACATGCTGGCTCCTGCCCTGCAGCTGTGGCTTCTGGAGTTGAACAAGGTCTGTGAGTAATTCCCTTCCTTATCTTTACTCGGGGGCTGGCGTGACCTCCCCACATCAGTCTTATTCAGCTAGCATTATTTTTTCTTGATTTTAAAAATTACCACTCAACTCTACCCCAGGCCCAGATCTGGCTTGATGAACAGAGGAGACACACAGAAGAATGGGGTCCCCTGATCCCTGGCCTAGGAAATATAATCTGTCAGACTAGACCTCCTCTCTTCCCCACAGGCAGTTCCTCTGACAGTGTCTAGGTCGGACCCAAGCTTTGTGAAGTTGATCTCTGATCTTTCTCAAACCCACAGCCTCAGCCTCTCCTCTCCCAGCACAAAGTGTTTCCCAACTTGTCTTTCTCTCCCTTTCTGTGGTAAATATCCTCCTCAGGCTGTTTCCTGATGAACTCAGCTCTTTTTCTCTGAAGGCTTTGACCATGGGTGTCAGAGCCTACACTCAGCTGACTTTAAGGCCATTCCCCACAAAAAAAAACCACCAGACTGAGACAGGGACAGTGACTTCCCCCAATCACTAAGATGCAGGAGGTCAGATTCCAAATTCAAACCTGTCTCACACCCTGCCACCTGAACCCTGCTGTGTTTATTTCCCAGTTTCCTTATAGTCATCCCTTGGTTGACTTGGATCCCCAAAGATACCAAAATCTTTAGGTGTTTAAGTCCCTGACTTAAACGGTGTAGCATTTGCATATAACCTATGCACATCCTCCCGTATACTTAACATTATCTCCAGATTACTTATAATACCTGACATAATGTAAATGTTATGTAAACTGTATTGTTTAAGGAATAGTGACAAGAAAAAAAGTCTGTTCATGTTCAGTACAGATGCAATGTCATTTTATTTATTTTTTTGAGACAGGATCTCACTCTGTCACCTGGGCTGGAGTGCGGTGACGCGATCATAGCTCATTATAGCCTTGAACTCCTGGGCTCAAGCGATCCTCCTGCTTCAGCCTCCTGAGCAGCTGGGACTACAGGCGTGTTTGCCACCATGCCCAGCTATTTTTAAAAAGTTTTTGTAGAGATAGGATCTTACTGTGTTGCCAGGCTGGTCTCAAAGTCCTGACCACAAGTGATCCTCCTGCCTTGGCCTCCCAAAGTGCTGGGATTAAAGGAATGAGCCACCACACCTGGCCTGAAAACTCAATCTAAAGAAAATATTTTTGATCAGCCGTTGGTCGAATCCATGCATGCAGAACCTACAGATACACAGGGCCAACTGTATTTCCTTCTTCCCCTGGGAGCCAGGGAAGTGAGTTCATTCTGTTTTTTCAACAGACCCTGCTGCAAAGAGGCATTGTGGAGCTGCTCTTGACCTCCGATAGTGAGACAGATGTGCTGAAAGGCCACATCGAAGGAGGTACAAATCTAGAGTTATTTCAAAGGAGAATGGAGGCTCTTAGCCAGCTGGTGTAAATCTTGAACAAGCTTCAGAGAGAACCAAGCGTACCTCTGATGCCTCCCTTTCCCATGTCCATTGACATGGATCCCAGAGATTTGATACTACAGTAGATGAGGACTCAAGGTCAAAGCGGACTCAAGGTCAAAGCTCAGAGTCCACTCGCCAACTCTATCTCTTGTCCTTGCTCCTGTTGTCTAAAACAGCAGTAACGGAGCGGCGCTCTCCCCAGCCCGTCTTTCCATCTTTCATAATTTCCTGTGCCTGGGGCCTGTGTTGGTGCTGGGCGTGGCTTAGGATAGGGCTACCTCCACCAACATGGAGAGCCACATGGGGAACCAGAAGATGGCAGAGTCCCATTCCTGGGATCCTACAGCTTTGGGCTCAGTGTAGACCCTTAGCGGACCCTAGACAATACAGTAGCAGGACAATTCAGAACATCATAAGATGACAGAAGTGAGGGAAATGGCCAAGGTGTGAGCAGGCCGATGGGTCCGGAGGAGGATCTGTCAGGTGATCTTTAGCTGGAGACCAGCTGCTGCCCTAGACTGCAGTGCCTTCCTTTGCAGCAGCTCTTCCCCACGTTATTATGGTGCCCTGGAAAGGCTGAGCTGGGGCCCAGGGAACCTGCATTCACTTTCTAGGTCTGATCAGGTCAGATGGCTTGGCCTGCTTCACTCCTCTGCACAAAGTGTGGTTAAATTTACTGCCCTTCTCAGTACAAATGATTGTCCTTGCAAGTGTCCAGTGATGTGGTGAAGGCTATGGCAGCCCTTTTCACGTTGCAAAGTGGGATGCACACGGTGTCTTGTCATCCTCACCATGCAGCACGCCTTCCCTCCCATGTACAGGGTGGGCCTCCATCCCTTCCCTGATGGCACTTGTCACAGTGCCTCAGTAGGGCCTCTCCCTTCTCTCTACAGTGTTGGCCACTGTCAATTTGAAAAGATTTCACAAGGCTGCTTTCAATCAGCTTTACAAAGTCCAGGTAAGGCATCCTAGAGATGAAGAGTTTTGTCTGTCCTCCTGCCACAGCCCCCCTTGTCTATGCAGCTGGTATTCACTGGAAACACAGGGTTTGACAAGACGTCTGCAACTTTTCACCCTGGGGCTCCAGCATGTTCCAAAGCCATTTTGAGAGGGTGGTGATTTCGGCATGGGGAATGAGGAGGAACCCTGCTTGTGTCACCCCCGTCCGTGGGTCACATCACAGAGAGGCCTGTGGGAAGGGTGAGGGGGTTATGTGACCTAAAGCCTTACTATGGAATCAGAAGGGGTGATGTTCTTTCCCTCTGTGAGGACAGAGCTCATAAATGGGCTGTATTACTTACAGAGAACTCACTCGTGGTTTGGGTGGGGTTAGCCTTTTCCAGCCAGGCCCTGTGAGTTATGGGAACAAGTGAGTATTGCACGCGTGTTTACTTAACAAACGTGCATTGAGCAGCCCTCCTTTCCTTTCCTCGCAGTGGGTAACCTCCTTTGACAGTTGCAAAGATGGGCAAACTGTAGTCCATGCCTGCAGGAGATACGTAGATCCTTTCTCCACAGAATAGCAGTGTGCTCCTTAAACCCAAATGCGATCACAATCTCTGCTTAACACCCTTCCTTTGTGCCCAGGGCCCAGGATGGGATCTAAACCCCTGACACGGCTTGCTAGGCCTGGTGTGACAGCCCCCTTCCATTCCTGGCCCTGCCCATGCTGCTCCTCCCCTTGGCAGGAGGCCTTCCCTGCAGTGTGTGTGCTGCAGCGCTCCCACCTGGCCGAGGAGTCCCACAGCGTCCGCGCTCTCTCCTCAGTCTTGCCCGCCCCCAAGTTATAATTGAGAAATTAATTAATCTTGTTTCCTTTTCTAGTCAATTTCTACACAGTTTCCAACCAGGTAAAAAGAAAGGACTCTGCCAGAGTGGACCCATGGCTCTCTGGTTTTCAATACATTTACTAAGTCGTCTTCGTTTTCTTCTTCCTTCTTCCTGCTTCTTTTTTTAAGAGACGGGGTCTCACTATGGTACCCAGGCTGGACCCAAACTCCTGGGCTCAAGTGATCTTCCAACCTCAGCTTCCCGAGTAGCTGGGACTACAGGTGTACAACCCTGCCTAGCTCTTGTCACTTTCTTTTAATAGTGTCATTGAAATCTAATTTATGCATCATTAAATTCATCCAATGTAAGTATATAATTCAATATACAGAGTTCTGCCACCATCACTACAATCCAAAAAGTTTCCTCATGTTCATTTGCAGTTAATGCCCTGCTCCCTGCTCTAGCCCTGGGCAACCACAGATCTGCTTTCTGTCTCTATAAATTTGCCTTTTCTAGACATTTCATATAAATGGAATCATACAATATCTAGTCTTTTGCATCTGGCTTCTTTCCTGCAGCATGATGTTTTCAAGGTTCATCCATGTTGCAGCATGAATCAGTGCTTCATTTCTTTTGATAGCTGATTGGATCATGCTTGGCCATCATATATATATGTACACACACACACACACACACACACACACACACACACACACACACACATATATATGAAGGTGGTGCAGCTTTGCTCAGATGTCCTTCTTCTTTAGTATGTTAATATGGTTTCTGAATGTTGAACCAGTCCTGCATTTCTGGTATGAATCTCACTTAATTGTGATGTGTTATTACTTTGTATACTGCTGGATTCAATTTGTTCATATTTTGTTGAGAATTGTTGCTTCTATCTTCATGAGGGATATTGATTGGTCTTGGTTTTCTTTTCTTGAAATGTCTTTGTTTGGTTTTGGAATTAGGATAATAAAATGAGTTTGGACGTGTTCTCTTCTTTTCTATTTTCTGGAAAAGATTGTGTAGAATTGTTAGTGTTTGTTAATGTTCGGTAAATTTCACTAGTGAAACCATCTAGACCTGAAGTTTTCTTTTTTAAGAAGATTTTAAGCTAGAAATTCAATTTATCTAATAGATATAGGACAATTCAGGTTATTTATTTCTTCTTGAGTGAGTTTTGGTAGTGTGTGTCTTTCAAGGATTTCTTCTATGCATTCTATTCTATTTCACTGAAGCTTTTGAATTCATGGGCACAGAGTTATCT